TATTGTAAGCTAAAATATAATTTGTATAAATTGTATTGTAAGCAAATGCAGAAGGTAGAAAAAGCTAATGAAATTGATTAGAATGCTAATGAAATTGATTAAAATATTCCTTATGAAGTTTCTAATTTCAAATGGAGTATGTTTGGAATTCAATTTTCTCATCAAAACTGATTATAAAGCACTTTCCCCCTTTCAAATATAAAGCATTGCATTATACTAATATAAATCTAATGATCGGTCTTAAAAATGTCCTTTAGCTTAGGTGATGGTTTTGAGTTGAGCTACTTGGTTGACTTTTTCTTAAATAATAAAACCAATAATGGATCCAAATCACTTGGTTAACTCTTCCCCTATTCCCCAGAAATATAATTTACAGATGCTTTAACAAACATATTATTTCTACATTAAGCTTCTAAATAGGACAATAACTTCACCAACTACAGGTTGTCACCCTTTGTACATCACTTTTCTATCCCAAATGCCAATTTCAATTAGGTTGATTTAGATGTTAGAATTAATAAGGTCTCAGCAGGAAACTTTAGTTACTAACAGTCATAATGTAGATGCTTTCCCATCCTTGTATTCTTTCTTCAGCCTTAATTTGTTTTCCTTTTTCAATCCACAACTCATGACCATTCATATAGCAACTGTTTAAAAGTTGTGATTGCTGAAAAAAGTCCAGTCCTTGTACTTATAACTGGTCCCCATATTTACGACTGTCACAGTATTTTCATGATCACATTATCAACATTTTGCTTCCAACAAGAAAAATCAATAGAGAAAGCCAAATAGGCCTAACAGAATTTGGGCTGGCAGGGTTCAGAAAAGAGCCTTTCTCCTAGCTCCTGGCCTTTGGAACGTCATATATCCTGATGTGAAATCTGCACCCTCCCTCCTGACTTTCCATAAGGGCCTGAAGACCTGACCACAGCTGGCCTGGGGCCCCAATGTGGATGCATCATTCTGGAGGTAGTTATTGGATTAATACCCCACCTCTCCCAGCTTGTATTTGGAAACAGCTTGTATTTTGAAAACTAAATTGATCTCAAAAGTGGTAAGTTTAAAATGAAGTAAATTGAAAATTAAACTCAACTCATTCTCTGAATTAAAAAAAAAATTAAACACCTCCAAACTCTTGAGCAGGGTAAGGGAAGCAATACTCTTACTGCTTCCTGTGATCTGTTTAATTTCGCCCTTTTAAAAATATCCTGTAACATGTGACAGAAAAAGCTGAATGGATTTTGAAAATGGACTCAGAAGCCCCCTTTAGATGATCATTCCAATGAATGATATTGACATGTCGTCTCCCCCCATCTCTCTTGGGCCATGGATTATGGGACATTGTTGTTCAAACTGTTAACTCTTTAATTAATAAACATTCTGTATCTTCTCTTAAAGGTTTATGCCTGTTTCTCCTCCTTGAGCCTTCTTTCCGCTTCCCTCCTCTCTTTCATGTATTTCTGCCACTGGCAATGCTGCTTAATTCGTCTTTCATTAGGCAGCAGCAAATCTTCCTCTCCTTCCTCTCTTCCTCAAAAGGACCAAAGCCCAACATTAGATTTCTAACTTGCTGTGCTTGGTAATCCCACTGCCAGTCTCACAGTGCTGTACAGCAATCTTGTGCTTGACAACATTTTCAGCTTTGACAAATTCAAGCATAAGATTTACCTCAGATCAGTTAATTCAGGGTTTCTCAACCTTAGATGGACTTCAGCATACTGGCTAGGGAATTCTGGGAGTTGAAGTCCACACAGCTTAAAGTTGCTCAGGCTGAGAAACAGAGATTAATGAGACATTCACTGACATTGATTAGCTATTGTTGCAGTAATGCCACATTATAAGCAAACCTAGAGAAAAAAGCAAATACTCCTTATGTATATAGTCAGCTCATAGTAAAATGTTCAACACTTATCGGTTTGTTAGTTTAACTGGCCTTTTACCTATTCACAACTATTGTTTTTGAAGCATTACCATGTGTTCAATATACTCCCCCTCCTTTTAATATAAGATTTTAGAAAAAATAGTCAATTACAAGCCAAGTAGGAATTGTCGGGAGTGACTGCAAAAAAGGCAAATGCAGTTTTAGGCTGTATCAGTTCAAATAGTTTCTAAACCAATGATGATCTGTTTTGGTTAGACTCCATCATAAGCATTAGGCCTAGTTTAGAGTACCATATTTGAGAGACACTGGACCAAATTCAGAAAATGACATAAAACCGATGTCCCCAATCACTGCAGTCTGGTACCAGGTCATGCAAGCGCTGGGCGAGCAAACAATGCCAAGGGGAAAAAAGGGCTAGGTATCATTAGCATTTAGGCAGTCTCTAATCCCAAAGTCCCTTTATTAATTCACTCAATGGATTAATATAGAAATTAAACAAGATTGGCAAAATTGATACGTTTAAGATATTGTAGCTTAGTAGAAGTTTGCTGAAGTCATTCTCATGCCAACTCTGGAGTATGGGATAGGATCACTGAAGAATAATGCATCATACTCCAACTCTAATATAGATGTCATTCCAGCAGAATACTATTTTTGATGGTGTGAGCATACTGATGGCACCCAACTCACAACTTTACTTCATATATTTGGTGAGTGATCCAGGAAGATCAAAATTATACTCACACAGTACAGGTAATCTGTTGGATGATCAAGGCAATTCTGCTACCCAAACCAGGCCAGTAATACATTTGGAATTAATCCACATAATCTATATTCTCCAAGATTTTATGAACCTGACTAGCTACTTCATTAGATATGTGGTTTGTGTGAGAAAACTGGATCTTGTATGAGGAACATAATTGATTAAAATGAGCTTACTGGACTCTTTAAGAGTTAGGACTCCAATGAAGAATGCTATGGTAAAGATAAAAGTGGGCTTTGGGTTTTGATATTTTGATTTTGTTTGTATATACCATACATCACAGTCTTCAACTCACAACAGTTCATTTAGTGACTGTTCAAAGTTACAACAGCACTGAAAAAAGTGACATGACCATTTTTCGCACTTATATCTAGCCCAGGGTCACATGATCAAAATTCAGACACTAGACAAATTGACTCATATTTATGACGGTCACAGCGTCCCAGAGTCGTGAGTTTTTGTGACCTGACAAGCAAAGTCAATGGGAAAGTCATATTCATTTAACAATTGTGGCAAGGTCATAAAATGGGGCAAAACTCACTTAATGCATTTCTCACTTAACAGAAATTTTGGGCTCAATTGTGGTTGCAAGTTGAGGACTACCTGCATTTGGTTTGCTACAGTCAGACTGTTAATCATTGTAATAATAGTATATATTATATATATATATATACAGAGACAGAGAGAGAGAGAGACAGAGACAGAGACAGAGACAGAGACAGAGACAGAGAGAGAGAGAGAGAGAGAGAGAGAGAGAGAGAGAAATATCTTCTTGTTAAACAACCTCACAGGTTACCATTTTTTTAACATTATTCAAATCAGATTTCCTGAAATAACACATCCTTATTTTTATTATCTTAAATATATATTTAATTTGTATTTTAAGATATGATTACTTGCATTTTCTTAATCAATATTAATTCCATTTATTAGTGGGGAAAATAAACAGTAATATTACAATTTATGTTGATTGTCTCAAATATCTTCATCCTTTTACTTTGAATGGGACAACTAAACAAAAAAAACTTCTTTATATTTTAAAGTGAAAATAATTTATAAAGCAAAGATTTGATTTATATTCAACCAGAGGCTGTTAAAGCCAAGAAAAAAGTATTTTCTATTCAAATTTCACAAATAAACTGTTTTGAAGCTCATTCTCACCCTCAAATCACTGATTATACTGGGATAAATGTGCATGGATATCCAAAAATAAACAAGTTATACATTAGTACATTATTTGGGAGCAAACAAAAAGAAATTGAAATTAGAATACAGATAACAAGGAAATAATATTTTAATATAATCTAATTGTAATATATTAGCTTTCAATATAGAAGGAAGGAGTTTCACTTCTATAAATGGCTGTACAGCGATGCTTAAATGTTTATTTCTTGGGGAGAAAGACACTTAGCTTCTTCTACAAGAAGAGGAGAAATGGTCATTGTGAGATGTGTTGTCAACAAATATTAAATGATAATTTGCTCCACCATTATTTAACTTAGAAAATACATTCCTGTGTTTGGTAACTAGAATGAATCAAATACTTAAGTGATTGGATAAATGACTTCATTTATATGCCTATCATGATTTACAGTGGCACAGGTTTACATTAAACCAAGTGATATTGTATATATTATATCTTCTAGTTAGTAAACTAGTATGATTATTGCCAGTTAAAGTAAACAAATGGTAGTTAAGTTTATTTTTTAAACAGAAGTTTACCAAAATAATTGCATAGCTGTATTTCAATCATAGAAATTCAATATATTACAAAGCCCATTAAATGGGTGTTCTGATCATAAAGATAGCTGGATATAGATAGGTTAATGTAAACTGAATGAAAAACAGCTATTATCTTTGTTTTAAAAGTTTCAAGATTAGGAACTTTTATTTAAATGCATTTTAAAAAATATTTTTGTGCAGCATGTTTAACAGTCTAAAAATGGAATGCAAAATGCCCATTATCCTCGTAATACAGCAGAAAAAGTTTGTTCTTCAGCAGATCAAATGAGGCACTAGTAGCATATATTTCAGAAACTGTTTATAGTCATCTAATTTCATCACTCCGCTAGGGATAGTTTTCAATGTTTCAATCTTCAGCTCAGTGAAATAAGTCTTCAGAAGGTCGTGCATAGGAAAATCCAATGAATGCATCATCTGCTTCCAGTACACTAGCATTTACAATATTGTAATCAGAAGAAATGCAAATGGAGCAGGGTACCATCTCTTCTGTAAATGTTGCATCAAAATTCCTGATGTCATCTGGACCAAACTAGAAAATAAAGCATATGTAAAATATTGCAAGGAAGAGACTTATATTTCCATATATTATCAATTTAAAAATGATTTTAAAGATTTTTTCAACAAAATAGTTTAGCATGTACAGATACTATAGCCTATCTTGTTAAGCAGTAAATCCACCTGTACAATGAGATTTCCAGTTATTCCCTCTGTTCTGAAGGCAGTGGAGAAAGGAAAAAGGAATTCATTCATTCTGATTCTATCAATAAAGGGTAATAGTTTGTTGTTGTTAGTTGCGAAGTCGTGTCCAACCCATCGCAATCCCATGGACAACGTTCCTCCAGGCCTTCCTGTCCTCTAGCATCTTCTGGAGTTGTTAATAGTTGAATACAGTCTAATATGCTCAATATATTACGTAGAAACTTGTTTGTTTCTAGAGATTATGCAACAATCAAGGAATAATAATTCCTTGAGATAATGCAACACTATGTTCAGTTTCTATTCATCCCTTTCTTTCATGATTTTTTTAACTCGTCTTAGCTATGATGATTTAATGAATAAGGAGTAGGAATTGGACTTACCACATTAGGATTAAATGGTGGTGGAATCTTTTTTTGTAAGAGATCATTCCAACTGACAGTTTCAAAGAAGGGATGCCTTTGAATTTCAAGCTGAAATACAAAATGAAGGTTAATATAAGCTATATAATAATTTGTCTTAAATGTGTCAGAAAACTGATGTCATTCACAAAAAGTTAACAAATATTCCTGTTCTGATTAAAACCAGGTTCCAAAAGATTATGGATCTTGTGCTGAATTTCCTATGTATGATATTATTATTTTGGTGACTGTGTATTAACACATATCAGTTTTAATTTTTGAAGTTATGGGATAGAATCATGTATCCTTAATAATAGACTGTGCTTCTAATACTGTAAATGTAAATTGTCCTAAGGTGCTATTCATTACCAACAAAGCCAGAGTACAAAAGGGAAGGATAGGATGGACATAACTGCCTTACAATAACTTGCTTTAATACTTTCTCATAATACTTTCTGCTCACTGTGTAATTTCAATTTTAGAAACTGCTTAATTTATTCTTAAAACAGATAAATTTAAAAAAAGAGAGAAAAAAAGCAATCTGCAATCAGAAGGAAAATTAAATGACCCAGATATTTTTAGAGTTGCTGACTATTTAAACAAATATATACTTAAGTATTTTAAAAAATGAAACATAAAACTAAATGAAAGGTTCCTGATATCCGAACTCCAAGGGAAGAAAGTGTTGTGATGAGTTAGTATGAGACCCTTAGAGGAATATCAGAGATATTCCTCCATCGGTGAATACTTATATGTGCATGAATATCAGGGCAGAAGAATAAAGCTAGAGCTATTACTAACCCCGCAGCTGCCCAGCAGAAAATGCACAAAGCTCTTGGATCTCATGTCTGATGGTCTGGTGGGGAGGTTGCCTAGGATTTTACTGCCAGGTAACTTCAGTTTGCATGTTTATACGTTATGTTTGTATGGATATCAGGAGTTCATGGCCTCTATGGCACTATGAGTATGGGAAGGTGATAATTACTTCTTGAGAAAGGTGAGGATACTGCTTGCCTTGAAGGACATAGGAGTCTGAGTTGGTGAATTTTAAGTGGGCAGTATTCTGGAGAATGTCAGTGCTTCCACCAGTTCCATGTCCTTCCTGGTTGGCCATGGTTCCCAGGAGATTAAACAATTGTTAATTTATCTTTAAGTGAGAGGAGCATATTGTGTGCATAAAGGAAGTAGTGATGTACTACCCCTCCTCAAGATGCTATCGTTGCTTCCAACTTTCCCTTTTTGGATTCTGAATAAGGCAGCAGTTCAAAAACTGCAGTGTTATTATTGTATATTTTACAAGTTGTCCTCAGTTTACGACTGTTAATTCAGCAATGGTTCAAAATTATGACAGTGTTGAATGAAGTGACATGTATCTTCCTTCCGAAATTCCAACCACTGCAACAACCATATAGTCATGTGACCAAAATTGAGTCACTTGGCAGCACACCTGCCCTTACAATTGCAGGAGTGCTGCAAGTTGGCTAGGCCCACTGGGACGTAGAAACCTGCCACAAGCTGGGAGGCCTTGGCTGGCAAGGCCCACTAGCTCGCAGACCTTCCCCCTCCCCCACCACTTCCAGAAGGCTTGAGTTTTCTCCCTGCCCCGGGCTTGGGCTAACTCCCTAAAATGGGAAGTGTCAATCAATCCTATGGAGTTTATAAAAACTCTGAGTATATATACGTATATGAAATTCAGTACCATAAAAGCTCTGCATCTATATGAAACACAATTATAATGAAGATGGGCAACATTCTATAAATTGTTTAATTATTAAAAACCCACATAAACTTTTTTATTTGGCAACACCTCGTGTTGTTTAACTCTTGATTCAAATAAAATTAATTATGCTTAAATCCCATCCAAACCAATGAAGATTGGGCTAATCTTCAGAGTCACCTTGCAGTGAGATGGATGGCAAATAAATGTAACAAATAAATATATTCTGTATGCTGGAATGAAATGCAGTACCCAAATTTGATTATTTAAATATTTCAGACCACCTATAATATTTTTAAGAAGGAACAAATATTTGCACTTCATGTAGTAACAAAATTAATTTTTTGAAATGTTTTTTATTTACTACTTGATTTAAAATCAGGTATTTTACATACAAAGTCTTCTTTAGATCCAAGTCTGTTCTGTCTCTCCTTCTCCAAGAGTTCTTCCAGAATAGACCAAGCTGTAAGACTGACGCCTGGCCTTAAATGGAGAGGTTTATGAAGAATGTTTTCATACATCTCAGCAACATCACGGCAGTAAAAGGGCGGCTGGAGAGATTGTAGGGAAAGATAACAGAACAAAACTAATAGTGTACTTGTTCAAGAAATGTAAGGAGAGCAAGCTATTGCAATGATCACCCATGCTACGGAATATTCACCCTCAAAGAGAAAAGCAGCACACTGCTTAACAAGTGCATGTCATAAAGATATGAAAGATGATTTGTTTTAGGACTTGAACCATCATTTTAAAATGTGCTTGGTACTCATGGAACAGAACAGTTTCTAAACTGCCACAGAAGCTTCTTAGTACCAAGGATTAAATAAACAGGGGATCATTTAAATTAAATACTTTCTCTATCTGATCTAGAATGTATTATAGTTTCAAATTTGACACCAGATCCTGAAGATA